GTGCGCTGTCAGCATTCTTCTCAGAGCGAGCATCTGAGTAAAACCAAAACACAGAGCTCTTCTAGCTGCTAAAAAGAAGAGCTAACTCTGTCCTGGCTAAAACCAGGACAGTGGCAACGGGATTTCAGACCACTTAGGATTTCAGAGATTGAGTTAGTAACTAAAGGACATAACCTTTTTACTGTGAAGTTACTTGAGTAAGGTATTTAGAAGATGTGATGCGTTTCTGTGAAATTTGCTGTAACAGCTACACAACCTTGTGAGCACTTGAGTTACTAAAAACTATGATGTATATATAAAGTTGGAATCTTAAGAATATACAGGGTTAGTAACAACTTTTGCTCATCTATGGCCTGATTTATGATTTACAAAAGTAAGAAAATGCACAAGAGAGGAGATTATTTAAATAACAAAGCCTGTGTGATTATGCATTTGATATATAAGAAGGTTGGTTGCTGGTATGTGGAGTCCTCCTACAACTGATTTTCTTTTTAGCAATTTCAGTGTTTGTCTTGATTGGTAAGTGTAGAGTGGATATTTCAGTTCTACAGGATTTGTTATAGTCTTGCATATAGTAAGCTATATTATTGTATCAATGTTGGATGCAGTTTTGGGAAGTATTAGGGGTTTTTTTTCCTCTTGAGTGGGATTGTGTATGTGACAAATAACTGACATGACATTAAAACTCATTTCAGATGACTTTTTTATTTAGTGAAATGAAATGGAACTGACGCACATTTGATCTACCACTTGACCGTATAATCACAGCTGAAAATTTTTATTTTATGTCATATTTCTTGAGATCATGCTGGTTTTCTTCTCATTCATTTTGATATAAGAATATATTAAGACAAAGAAATACATACTTTGTATGTATATTTACAAACATGAATATTTTTCTCTTTGGAATTGGAATTGCAGTGATCTCTGGAGCTTTCTGTTGTGATATAATTTTGGACAGTAGACTGGATGACTGGAAGCCAACGAATGTAAGCACAAAAACTTCTTTCCTGAAAAGTTATATAGCTTGCGTCCTTGTCCAATGGCTCTTTTTCAATGAGAGAGAAGGGACAGTGAGGTTTTTTTTCTTTTGGTTGGGTATGTCTACACTAGTATTTTTTTTTTAGATCAGGAGTACTCTTTGGAAACTAATCTCCGCATTTACCACTTACTGGCTCTCATTGCAGAGTGCTTTCAAAGCACACAAACTGGGTTCCTTTCAGATGAAGTTAAACCTTGAGCTGTCCTTGGGTTTTAGGTCTGTGGGTCTAGAGTCAGTTCAAGTCTGAAATACAATTCCAAAACCAGCTGATGTGGCTGTTGGGACCTCAGTGCCATCTTTGTTGCTATACAGATCGGCTCCTGCTCAGCCGCTTTTGCCTGGTAACGTAGATGCAACTGTAATCTTTGTGTGAGCAGAGCCCTCTGAAAATAAAAATGTGTGTAATATGTGTATTTTCACCTTGTGATTTGCAGCATAATCAGTTTATTGTTGTAAAAGAACTGTGAGCACATTCAGTGGAATCTCTCCTTAATAGCTTGCTTGTATTTCATGCTCTTCAGTAAATCTAATAATCTTAAAACCTCTAAGTGTCGTAACCATTTGGTAGTTGGTGTGATCACGGATGTTTTACTTGTCTGGTGCCTATTCTTTTTCTCATGCCCAAATAGCAGCAGAAGTGTGTATGGCCAACACAGCAATATTGGTACAATGCAAAATTTTTCTTCAGTACGATTTTATAGTTGAAGTGACTTAGTTTGAAATGTTTTCAGTGTGTCATTATAAATGTAATTTCTCCTAATCACAGTTTCTTATTTATCAATAAATCTGAGTATGCAGAGCTTTGGATTCTGGACCAAGGTGATAAATTTCTGTTTATTAATTATTCAGTACTTTTTTTTCCTCTTTGATTCCATCACAATAGAGGTCCTTCATAGGTGGAGTTGTGACTCTGGGAAACAAGATACGCAGATGAATATTTAACAATAGCAAGATATATGTATAAATAGTGTTGGAAAAGCCTGAGAAGTTGAACTTCAATTAATATATATTGTTTCTGATGGGAAAACGCCTGTTGATTTGACTGGGCATTGAATCAGTCCATTTAAACAGTGATGATCTGTAGCAATCTGTTGCTGATAAATAAGAAGAGCTACAATCCTACAGCAATATTCTTATATTTAGGGTTTATAGTAGATGATCCTTATTGTTTTGAATGATATTTAGTGTTTCCTGTGTTTTATCTATTCACTACAGCTGTGAAACAGTGGTGACAGTTTTATATGTATGAATTGTTTTTTTAGGAGAACTTCCGTTCTCTTACAAGGGATGCCAGAAAGCTAATTCATAAAGATCTGCCATTTGAAATACTGCATGTTGAAGCAAAAGTAGCACGTGAAATGTTTCATCATAATAGGTAAGTGTCTGAATTTGTCTTTCTTTTAGAAAAGTGATTAGAAGTTCTTTAAATCTTTGCTTGGTTTTGTACATCTAAAATAAGATGTGACAGGTGAGGTAAGAAAGTACTTCTTCCGCTACTCTGAATGAACACTCTTCCATTCTCTCTGTCACTCTAGCTTATTTAATTTTTAATGTTTTCTCCAGAGGCCAACACAGGCACCTTTGCTGGATGTAGTTTTTTGATGGAAGAACTGTAGAGTTCTTAGTTTAATAGTGAACTTCAAGATTTCACTACTTTTAAGTTGAAGCTCTGGTGGTCAGACTTAGTGTGCTAGTTACTCTCAGCCTTTGCTGAAAGGCTTTCATTTTCAAAGAAACGTAGATTTTTAGTATTTTGCTGTCTTGAAGTGAAGATTTGATGAAATAAAGTTTTTGAGCTCCGCATGGAGAAAATGGGTAAAATACTCTGGCCTGTGCTATAAAAGAAGGCTTGTTCAAAACACTTCAGTCGTCTTTGCTGAAAAAACAGCTAAGCAATGTTTTGGTAAAAAAATTCGCTGGTCCACAGTTTTTTGGTGGTTGGAAAGAGAAGTGAGGGGAAATGATAACTGATATATCATTTTGTGAACCAAGATAAAAGTATGCTAAAGTGAAAGTTGCAAAAATAACTGGTTTTGTAGCTTAATAATGAAGGTGATATTAGTGTGACATACAGACTAGCATCTCTTCGCTATGTTGGCTGGCAAGCATTGACAGCAGGTGGGAGCTGACTTTTGATAATAGCTTTAGACTATTATCAAAAAGATAATAGCTTTTGTATGTGTGTTTGTGTGTGTAGAAAGAGCAGAGAATGCTTTGCTGTTTTGCAGATTACCTGCCGTTGAGGACCAGACATGGCATAAAATCAGTTTAGATGATCTGATAGTGTCTTCTGGTCTTACATGTGACTTGAAAAACTCTTGTTTTTATTTGAAGTAGTAGGTTCATTTTATCTTTATTAATAAAACTCCGGTATAAGTATAATATAATAAGACAGCATGTCCTCCTGTAACATATACAAAGAAGAGAATAGAGTAGAATAGACTATTTCAGTTGGAAGGGACCTACAGTGAACATCTAATCCAACTGCCTGATCAATTCAGGACTGAACAAGTTAATGCATGTTTTTAAGGACATTGTCCAAGTGCCTCTTAAACACTGACAGGCTTAGGGCATCGACCAGCTCTATAGGAAGCCAGTTGCGGTGTCTCACCACCTTCTCAGAAAAGAAATGCTTCCTAACGTGGAGTATAAACCTCCTGTGGCGCAACTTTGAGCCATTCCTATGTGTCCCATCGCTACATATCAGGGAGAAGACATCAGCACCTCCCTCTCTGCTTCCCCTCCTCAGGAAGCTGTAGAGAGCAATGAGGTCACCCCTCAGGCTCCTTTTCTCCAAACTAGACAAGCCCAGAGTCCTTAGTTGCTCCTCATGGGACACTCCTTCCAGCCCTTTTACCAGCTTTGTTACCCTCCTCTGGATGCACTCAGGGACCTTCACATCCTTCTTGAATTGTGGGCCCCAGAACTCCACACAATATTCAAGGTGAGGCCACACCAACGCTGAATACAGCGGAATAATCACCTCTTTTGATGGGCTGGTTCTGCTGTGTTTGATACATCCCAGGATGCAGATTGCCCCCTTGGCTGCCAGGGCACACTGCTGACTCATACCGAGCCTGCTGTCGGCCAGCATCCCCAGATCCCTTTCTGCAGGGCTGCTCTCCAGCCACTCCCCTCCCAATTTGTACTTGTGCCTGGCATTACTCTGTCCTAGGTGCAGAATCCGGCACTTTGTCTTGTTAAATTTCATCCTTTTAGCCATCACCCACTGCTCCAATCTATCTAGATCCCTCTGCAAGGCCTCCTGTCCTTCAAGAGAGTCAACAGCACCTCCCAGTTTGATATCATCAGCAAACTTGCTAATGATGCGTTCAGCTCCTGCATCCAGATGGTTCATAAATATATTGAACAGGACTGGCCCTAGAATTGAACTCTGAGGAACACCGCTGGTGACCAGCCAGATGTAGCTCCATCCACTACAGTCTTTGAGCTCTGCTGTTGAGCCAGTTCACCCAGCGCACCATGAACCTGCTCATCCCAGAGCTGGACAGCTTGCCCAGAAGAATGCTGTGAGGGACAGTATCAAAAGCCTTACTGAAATGCAGAAAAACTACGTCCACTGCCTTACCTTTATCCATGAGGCGGGTGTCCTTATGATAGAAAGATATGAAATTAGTTAAACAGGACTTTCCCTTTGTGAACCCATGTTGACTGTGCCTCATGATTATTCTTTAAATGCCTTTTAATAGTATGATCTTCTCCATAATTTTTCCAGGAACTGAGGTTAGACTAACAAGTCTGTATACATGCCGGTACATGTTATCTTATAAAATTAAGAATTTAAACTCATGTAAATTCATGTAAATACGAGCATGATTTTTAGGAATGCTCCTTAAATTGATCTCTTAAGTATTCTTATAAGAACTAAGTGTTAAAGATGAGGATTTTTTAACTTTTCTTTTTTTCTTGTCTTGTTCAGATACAAAATGGAGATGATAGAACAAAAAGCTTCTCAGAATATGGAAGGAATTGTAGCGTTACACAGGTGAGCAAAACTGAGCTCTCATTCTGCAATGATTCGCAGAAAGATTTGATTATCTTGCAAGCACTCTCTGCAAGTGAGAAAAGTAAGTTACTTGTGATGGTTTTCAATTTAGAAATAACTTGTATTCATTGCTCTCTGTAGTCTGTCTTAAGCTGTTGTTTTGAGTGGTGGTATTTTTTTAATACGACCATTGTCTTGGGATACTTGACACCTGGTGGATCTCACTACATTCTATTTCTTGTTATGTTAAAGGCGGTAGGTGCCAGAGAAGCCTTACTGCTTCAAATGCTTTTACATAAAATCGAAATAAATCTCTAGATCTCGACAGGTTAAATAAAGTACAAACCAAATACTTGTTTGAAAACAAAAGTTAGCATTGTACAGTGGATTTTCCTTCCAAAGACCTTCCTAACTGGCAAGCTACTGCCTTGTAGTGGTAGAGATGAGAATGGAGCTGGTTCCTGGGATACAGTGTAAGACGTAAAGTTCTTAGGCTGGAGGCAGGAAGCTTGTATTGTGTCTCAAGCATATAAAAGAATTTGTGACTAGCTTAGGCTAGGGTAGAATATTCAGTTTTCTAGATGTCTAAATTGTTCTGCATTTGATTTTTGGAGTCCACATCTCTCTAAAGAAACAGATGTGATTGCAACGATGGTTCTTGAAATTTTATAACAATGTTGTGTCTGTTATTCTCTCCTTCCTTCCACTCTCTAGTTTGGTCAATAAGAGGGAAAATGGACTTACCTATTGATTTCTGGGAGAGGTTTGTTGTGGATGTTCTTTTGCTGTACATCTTTTTCTCTCACTTTTCTTAATTGATTTGCAGTTTTCTGAGATCTGAGAGAGAAATACCTGTGCAGTTTGTAAACACTGTCCTGTGGAAAATGTATGATCTTGGAGACAAATCTTTTTCTGGGGAATGACAAAGTTATTCCACTTTTAAAGCCAACATGGCCTCAAAGATTTGTTAAACCTAGGATCCTCTTTCTAGACTAGAGGTTTAAATTTCCTAAGTTCATTTTAGGAAATTGTGTGACTTGTACTTTTGCTTCAGGAAACCTAGAAATGCTGAACTGGGGATTTGTTTAGGTTTCATTTGGTATTTTTGTGGATTTTCTTTCATCTGTTCTGTAGATAGGAATTTGCTAATTGAAAGTAGAAACAAATAGGCTTGTACTCCTTGCTGAATGTATTTGACATAGTTGTTTTTTTTTTTTTCTCCCATCAGGTTTGGTGATTTTGTAGACGTTAGTGAAGGCCCTCATATTCCAAGGACAAGTTTCTGTTTCCAGTATGAGATAACAGCAGCCCATAATCTTCAGACTAATCAATCTGAATTGATAAGGAGGTTCCAGGGTGTGTCCCTGCCAATCCATTTGAAGGTAACTAATCCATTTTGTACAGGTTTTTCTTCTTTAGGTTAGTGCGTTTGGCCTGATCTTTATTATATGCTGTGCTAGTAACCAAACGTAATTCAGAGCTGAGAACAGCAGCAGAAAGGGGAGGCCCATGATGATGACTGCATTGGATATTTGGGGTTCGTTTTCCTGGAAGTATTGTGCATGTGAAATTGGAACTAGAAAAGTTTGCATGAGAGGGTCCTTGATGTTATTTTTAAGTACTGCAAGTGTTGTTTTGGTTGTGCAATTTCTGCATGGATATTTTATTCACCTTACTTTAGTTAGTTGTGCATGCTAATCTTCTGAAATTGAGGCTGCTGACTGTTTATTCAGATTCAGGAAAGAGCAGAACTTTGAATTTACACTCATGATGAAGGATTCCATTTCAAAGTCTTTCACAACACCACAGTAAAACTTAACAACAATAACAAAGTCCTAGCATTAATCAGTCTTAAACAAAGGCTTTGCTGAACTACAGGTGGAGCCAGGAGTCTTTCTTCCCGTTCCTGTTGGCTTGTATGATTTTGACCTAGCACATGGGCTGTTGTCTCAGTTGGGGAAGTTTTGAAGGGACAAGTGAACACTGAGTTCCTCACCTCTATGTAGCCTTCCTCGTCGTAAGATTTTAATTCTCATTTTTACCCCCTCAATATCAGCAGACATTTATTCAAGTCCTCCAAAGGAATACGGGCAAATTGGACACTGAAATCATAAGCTGTAATGTCTGAATTAGGGATTGTTAGGGTTTGTGCCATCATTCCTATACAATTGTCAGAATCTATTCTATGTGAAGATTTTTTTTATTTGGCCTCCAGTAACATCATTTAATGACATTTGATACAGGCTCACCACACTGTGTGGAACAAACTGGTGGAAAGATCGAAGAAGCTGGTAAGTCTCATTAGTGGTGAAGTACAGCTTACCAAATATGCTGTGGTAGAGTAGAATTTGAATGATTGGAGATGGGTATATCTGTCGGAATGGAAGTATTCACAGGTGAAGAAAAATTGGATACACAGGAAATCTAACTGCTGTGTAGTAGAGGACATGCTAGTATTGTTTCTGGAGTCGTTATTAAAATGCACTGTACCATTAAAAAAACCCATACACTATTCAGTTGGTATAATTTGTGCTATTAAAAAAAATGGAGGAAATTATGTCAGACTTGCCATCTGTGGCTCTGAAGCTGTCTGCTCCTGAGAATCCGACGTGCTTTTTAAAATAATCTCTCTAAGCTATTGTTAATTATCACTTTAAACTATATTAGTATTTTTCAAATTAATCTGTAGAATTAATGTCAATATCACATGTGTGTAAAATTTAAGATTATTTTTTATTGTTTTAATCGTGAACATGAAATAAGAAAACTAAAAATTGGAATAATGTATTTACACTTACTTAAGTTTTAGGTAATAACAAGTTTTCTGCTCCAGATTTGAGACAACACGTGCGAACATGTTTCTTATAAGTAAACGCAGGGGTAAAATCTAATACCACTGGGTGAGCCTAGGTGGAAGTTACTGGAGGTAAAAGGAAATGCTATTTTAGTAAACTGCATAAATGCATTAGTTTGAGTATTTTTTTTACCTGTTTAAAAACTACAGGGAAAATAAGAGTTTCTTGCAAACATTCTTCTCTTAAACAACCAGTGTTTGAAGTTGAAATGTACTTATCCAAGAGAAGCTGTACAATGACTGAATAAATGCAGAAGGCAAGATTTTAAGATAAATGGAACTATAAAATATCATGAGCTGCATATAACCAGAGAGTCACTAATAAGGCATGATTAAACATCGAAATCTTGATAAAAATTAAACAGCAGATGTTTTGGAATCTTAGATCAGGTATTTTACTTCTTTGTATGGCAAGAGAGAGGAAAAACAAATGCTGTATGTCTACTGAAAGTTGTTAGCCAAGGATGTTTTCAGAGCCTAACCCGTAATATTTTTCTGTGAAATTAGTTTGAAGATGCTTGTCATTCAGGTCGTTTAATTTTGGAGACAATAATTGTCTTTGTAGGCTGTCCTTTCTTCTTATGCTGACAGTATGAGGGGAGGATTTCCAGAATCAAGGAGAATTAAGTAATTTTTAAAAATATAACAAAATTGGTAATGTTTTTCTGCAGGTCACTGAAGAAAAATATTTGGAAGCAGCGGCAGAACATCATGAGGCAAAAGATGGAACTGAAGAAGGAAAAACTGTATCAGTTTAACGTCTAAATGTACATAATAAAATGTGTATTTTTACATGACTTATTTGAGGAGCATATAAAAATGTCTTGGGTAATTAATCTGAATTCTGTGGATCTAAATCACAGATAGTTATAAAGCCATTATTGGACATTTCAGTCTACTTAAAAAATTTCACTAAAAAAAAAAAAGGGGGCGGGGGGGAAGATAATGCTTTATTTGTGGTAACTCATCTTGCAAGTTAACCCTTGTCCTTATCTCGACACCAATTGTATGTGTCTGTATGTTGTCCTCTGTGATTAGTGCAGTCTGGCCTACAGACTGTAGCTGAACTGCCAGCTGGAAAGGCCATCCCCTTTATCTTTGTACAGTTTCAACATCCCTTGTTTGGTCTTCCGTGAAGAAAGTATTTCTGATTTCTAACCTGGTATGTTCATTTCTTGCTGGAACTTCGTGATGAAATTCCGCTGAGTTCTTTGCCTGCTGCAGTAGAAAGTTGAGACAAATAGTAGCTTTAAAAAAAATAGAAAAAGGTGCGGAAAAAAAGCCCTTTCAGAAGCCCATAAAGGTTACAAAAGATTATTTTACTCATTTTGATTCCCTGTCAGAATTGAAATTAGATGCTCTGTTGTGTTTCCGGTTCAAAAGACTCCATTCAGTAGACCACTGTGTAATTGCCATTGCTTTATTAATACAAAAACAGCAGAATGTAAAAGCTGAAAAGTTCTTTGAGTTTAATATTTTCTGCTGTACAAGTGAGTTAAAGATCATTTTCCAGACTAATACCAGGAACGTAGTCTATTGCTTGCATCCCCAGTGTAGTAAGATTTAGTATGCATTTTCATTCTTTGATATTTAAATACGGTGACTTCAATTACATTTCACAAGGGGTTTTTGTTAGATGAGGTTTTCTGACATTTTGTATTTTCATCCCAAGATCATTAGAGCTGTTCTCATTATACCAGAAGAGATTTTTATTACTTCTTGAAGTGCAAATATTTTGTCCCAATTACTATTTTTACCATTAACTGCATGACTTGCTTTCTAATCAATTGACACTATAATTTTGTATGAGCAGGGTAGCAGTTCAGTAAAGTACATTTAGCCTAATTGAACTAAATAATAGGTAAATGCTGAATGTGTCGGAGCACAGAAGAAGGAATGCAAGTGGTACAGGTAGCTTTTGGTGAAATCTGCTTAAGGCACGTGTTAAAATATGTTCGCTCCTGTGCATTTCTGTGCTCAGCGCAATCTTTAGCTCTTCAGAGTTACTGGCATTCGGTGAAGTTTGGAGTCTGTCAATGTGCTACCAGCCTATGACCCCTGGTTCAGTTTCCTATTAATACAACACATCTCTAAAGTACAGCCCGTGTCTTCTCCGAGTACTTGAAAAACTGATTTTTTTTCCTTCTTGATGAATGTTGCAGAGGACTTTTTATAATAGCATCGGATGCTTATTTTTTTAAATAAGAGTCTTCATTTAAGGTTTACCTTAAGAGTACACACATACATTCTATATATTCTATATATTTTCTGAAGACCATAAATGATCTTTGCACTGAACTTCAAATATTTGTGTTTCTTTTAAACCAAACCTTCCAGAGTATGCCTTGGCTTTGGCCCTGTTGCTCTGGAGCTACTGAAAAAGCAGGCATTGGTTCCTGTCTTGAGGAACACAAAATTTGCTGTGGTTTTGTGTGTGGTTGGTTTTTTATTTTTTGGTTTTGTTTTTTGGAGGTACCTGCCGTCTCTGATTAACCCAGGACCATAGTGAAATTACACCAGTGGGATCTGATCTAGGTGGTCTGTTTTGAATCTTAAATCAGTTATATTGCCAACCCACAGAGTCTCCTGATGTCTGCTCTGTGTTTTAGGAATCCAGTTCAGAATGCCTCCTATATTCCACCACCTCCAGAAGAAGCTGAGAGTTTTTCTCTTTAGGAATTAACTTTGGATGGAATTTCATGTTTCAGAGATTTTCTGTTTTTTTTTTCTGTTGTGGTTTTTTTTGTTTGTTTTTTTTGTTTGTTCGTGTTTTTTTTTTTTTTCCCCCAAGGGAGAGGGAGCCCAGCTTTTACAGTGTGCAGTGTAAGAAACAATTTGAAAAGTCTGGAGAGGGGATTTCCCTTTCCTAACCTTTACTGGGTCTAAGACAAGTGGATGCGGGACTGGCAGGGGAATTTATAGCAGAGCCGGGGAAACCCGGAGGGCTGCTGCCGGTAGGTGGGAGCAGTGGCCTGGGCAGGAGAGGTGCTGCCTTCCCGCGGGACAGGAGCAGGAGAACTGCCCTGCGGGGACACGGGTGAGTCCCCGTGGAAGGGACTTTTGCCAGTGCAGAACTACGTTCCCGAAAATGCTGTTGAGGGCTGTCAGCTGAAGTTTACCCGACGTTAGACTTCCCCTCCCGTCCCTTCCCTGGAGGGCTATGCATGAAAAGGTGGAAGCTCAAACTTCTGCAGAACTTGGTGCTGGCTCACATCTCGGCTTACGTGGGCTCCAGGAGGCAGGTCTTATTTTGGGAGAGATGGAGCTGCAGGACGTCTTCGAAAAGTGCCAGGATTCTCACAGAGGACAGTAGCAGTTAAAAGAGAAATGAGTAGTAGATGGTAGCATCCACTTATTTCTTACCACCAATATGGTGGTGACCGTGCTTTCGAAGTAGGAGATGCAGATTCAATTCCCTATTTTGCCAGAGAGGGATTCAGAGGTGCACTTGCGGGAGGAAACACTGGGTTTTTTATGGAGATGGATCATAAGATACTTTGAGTACTCCCTGCCCGATCTGTATGAAGTGATGCCACTACTAGAAAAAAGTCCTGAATATTTCTTGGACGAGCATGAGAACAGATGGAAACAGTGCTCAGCCACGCGGCAAACATGGCAGCCACAGAGCAACAGGGAGATCTGGTCCCTGAGGTCAGGGCCATTGCTGTGTTTTACCATTAACTGCTGGCATATAAAATGCTGAAATGGTCTACCAGGAGGAACGTCACAGCAGCTAGGCTGGAGTAATGCTTGCTTTCTCTTTTTGGCTTAAGGATTTCTGAACTTTAGCTGAACTGCAAGGTGGTACCAGCCTGGCTGGTTATTTGGGGCTGTGCTCTGACGTACACCTGGAACTACAGGTATATACCAAACTTAAGGCTATGGGGTAATGTAAAATGCCAAAATAAGCTCAGCTATGGCAAAGCTCTGGCTGGGTGTGGGTGCTACATGTGTGTACACTGTCCTCCCTACCATGGAGCCTGGCTCAATCTTCTCTATTGGAAGCAGCCAAAAGAGACAAGTTAGTAGATACTGTTATTTCTCTATACTGAGTGCTATAGGTCTTAGAAGCTACAGGGATAGGGAAGTGTAGATGGACAAAAGGGACTGCAGAATTAAGCCAAGTCCCCTCCGTGGCTATTTCTCCTCTTTATCAAATTACTTCTCAGATGTCAAGAGCCAGTTTTTACTGTATCCATTCCATAAAAGAAATGCAGAGCCAGCTAAAGGTAAGGAAGAATCTAGGAAGATACCATACTGCAAAATACAGATGATGGAGCAAGGGGAGGGCGTGGCAGTTTAGGCCAACGTATATGAGCAGAAGACAATACTGGCCAGATTCTGATAAAGAAAAAAATAAGGATGAAATTTTTTTATGATGAAGATGGTGAGACACTAGAACAGGTTGCCCAGATAGGTTGTGAATACCCCAACTCTGAAAGTGTTCAAGGACAGGTTGGATGGGGCTTTGAGCAACCTGATCTAGTGAAAGCTGTCCTTGCCCATGGCAGGGGGGGTTGCAACCAGATGATCTTTGAGGTCCCTTCCAACCCAACTATTCTATGATGACAGGGGAAAAGGCAGGAATTGAAGCTGTCGTCCTTCTTATAATCATAGAATGGTTAAGGTTGGAAGGGATCTCAAAGATCGTCTAGTTCCAACCCCCCTGCCATGGGCAGGGAAACCCTCCACTACAGCAGGTTGCCCAAAGCCTCATCCAACCTGGCCTTGAACACTTCCAGGAATGGGGCATCTACAACTTCTCTTGTACATCTCAGTAGTAGCTCCATGGCTTCTCCCATTCAAGTTGTTCCTCCTTCTACCTCTTACTTAAAATAGAGTTGAAACTTTTCCAAATTACAGATTTTTTTTTTTTTTTTTCTGAGCTTAGGACTCTTGAGCCTTCCTTTTTATTTATTGGTTTTATCCAAGAAGGCAACTTCATACCAAGGTTAAAGCTACATGGTGTCTTGATCCTAAAAGGTGGCATTAGGAAGGTTGAGCTGAGTCAGTTCCAGCTTTTTATACGCATTATCTGACCTACTGAGATATTTTTTCCAGAGAAATATTCTGTAATTCATGTTATGGATTTTGGAGATAGCGAAGGCAATTACTGTGTGTCTGACTTCCTTCGTAACAGAAAGAATGAAATGTCAAGAGAGAGTTATTTTTTTCTTAACAAGGAAGTGAAACTCTTCCCTGGGAAATTGAACACATGCAAGTGATGAAAACGCTCGATCATCAGTAGACATCGAGTCCTTTTATGACAGCAGCCAGAATGAGCTTCCCTTTCTATTTTAACCTTTGGCAAGAAGTAATCTCTTACTGCTGTTTGGTAACTTATCTAGTGCTATACCACTCAGCTTATCGCAATACTTTGTTATATTTGAAGCCAGTAAACTTGCTAGTGCAGCTACATTTATTTTATTATTTTTTTAAGGAATTCAGACACAGGAACTCAGTATCATAGAGGCGTTTGATGGGAAGAGTTAGCAGTGGGTATTTCTTGAAGAACACCAACCATCTGAAAATGGTAATGCTATCATGCTGTGGTCTTTCACAAGATTTAACCCCAGTCATGGACAGCATTAACATTTTTTCAGAGTAAAAAGAAAACCTATTTTTTTAATAACTGGTAATATAATATCTGCAACTTAATATGCTTGCTTTTCTGGGAATCAGCTATGCATAAAAATAAATATAAATGATCTAATGACCGTATTTATATTCACTATCTATTTCTTAAGTGTGCAGGTTACTGAACTTACATTTTAAAGGGAG